CCCCAAAACCCCAAAACCCCAAAACCCCAAAACCCCATTAGTAAATAGTAAAACTGAATTAATTATTTATTATTGAGAATAACCAAAAGTTAACATGAGAAATACTTTGAAATCCCTCTTTATGATAGCAGTGATGATGCTTTACTCACAATATGGATCAACTCAGCAGGTAATTGGAGAATAGATATTGGTCTACTAGGAGTTAGCTTCTTTAAGAGGGAATACTCATCTTTGGGATTTAGATTCCAGAAAAACTTACTAAAGCACATCAAAATTTTAAAGACACTGATTCTGAATTGCTGAATCAAGGGTAAGATAGTAGATATCACTGGACCATTCTAATTTCATTAATATAGTCCAACAGCAGTAGTTCCTGGAGTTGTTACGAATCAAGATATAAAATATGAATACGAGTACGTACCCTTGAGCTCAAACTAAATATCTTTAATAAATTTGGCATTTGAAATTACATTGGTAAATACAGTTTCTTCAAGATCCGAAATGCTTTCTCTAATTGCAATTTTAAAGAAATAAGATCCTTTTTGTATGAATTCTACCTTTAATCATGAGAGGAATGCAGGGATTAAAGCTATGCAATCTAACCTATCTATTAAAGCGCATTCCAGATAATCTTTGAATGCATAAATATAAAGTATTGAGGAGTGAGATTAGAGATTGTAAAGAAAATTTTATACAAGACAAGCTCTAATCTTTTATTCAGCATGGAATGGGCAAATGTATGGGATGAATCAGAGATACTAAATCAAAGATTGCTTCAAGCTGTTGAAAATCCAACTTCACCAGAGTCTGATCCAGACACAGAAGGTATTGCTTTGCACAAATTTGAAGCAGTTTGATTCCTCAAAATCTGATTTTACATCACATTTATATGCACACTTCAAGGTCCTTCTAATATAAATTTAGAGCAAGTAGACCCGGCCACATCTGAAGGAGATGAATCAAAGGAAGGAGGCAAGAGAAATGGTATGTTTTCACTAATCCTTTGTCCGACATAACTCTGCTTTAGTCTACTCAACAATGGAAGGCCTGGTCTATAGTTTTTGGTTCATCTTCTTGTCTGAGATTGGAGATAAGGTAACTACTCATGAATCACACATAGACTTTCTTGTTCATTGTTCTCTATGCAACAAGGATGAACGGATTCAAGTTGTTGTTAATTTCCTCTATTGGACTGTGAGGCATGCATTGAATCGGAACAGCAGTGGGTAAGTACCAACTATGTAACATTTGTAATTTTGTATAGGAGGTGTTTTCCAATTATTCTTTACTCCATTCTGGCTCAAACTCACCACTGTTATTGCTTTCTTTATTTTCGGAGTAGCCTTGCTCTACATGGGAATTACAGGCCATGAAGAAGAAGCAGACTTTGAGCATAAAATGCATGAAATCGAACTTGAGATGATGAGCGATGAAGGAAGAGGTCTGAATAGAAGCAGCAGTCACAGTTCTAAAAGCGCAGACCCAGAGAAAGTATCTTTAAGAAACTCTCAAAATGATGAAATTGAAGAAGAAGAATGCTACACAATTGTAGAAGCTAAGAAAGAGAGTGTTTTCACAAAGATTTACAAAGTATTAGCTTTTAACCAAGCAATGAAAATTATATTAACCATCTTTGTGACTGAGATGGGAGATAGATCCCAAATTTCAGCTATAGGTCTTGCTGCTCAATACCCATTTTGGATAGTAGCATTAGCAGGATCTATTGGACATATCCTCGCACTTGCATTAGCAATATTATTTGGAAGAGCAATTTCAGACTACTCAAGCGAAAAATGCATTAATATTATTGGAGGAATTATGTTCTTGATATTCAGTGCTTACTCAATAGTTATCTATTACATCCTTGAGGAAGACTCAGAACTTTTATAAAGGTTTTTATTCAACACTAATTCAATGCTACTTCGTCAATAAGGGGTTTTGGGGTTTTGGGGTTTTGGGGTTTTGGGGTTTTGGGG